GGGGGGGGGGGGGGTAAAGAAAAGAATTAACTGCAGATTTCAGTTACAGATATTCCCTCCCCTCTCTCATTTCCCCTGATTTCACGCTGAATATTCCCTCCCCTCACAGACCCTCTCTCATATTTTAACACCTAGCATATATATACACACTCCTCTGGACAGAATTGAGGTCATTCATTGATATACACACTCCTTCACTCACACATAACAAAAAATTCTCTGCAGAAACTTCACATTCCTTTCTTCATTTCACACTGATTTTTCTTTTCTTGAGTTTCAAATTAAATACAGAAAAAAAAAGAATTCAAAGTTGTTTTTCCTTCCATCTTTCTACTGGCTTTGCTTCAATTGTGCTGGGATTTCGAGTGGCTGTTGATCCTGTTGTTCCTGAGTTGCTGAGATTCATCTCTTGATTTCAGACTTTTGTTTGGTTTTGTCTAGCTGATTTTGCTGCATTTAGGTATGTTTTACATTCTGTAATCATCCAGTTTGGTTCAATAAATGCAAATCTGATGTTTTACATACTCCATCATGTGTTTAGTTTGCTCGTTTGATACTGATTCCTTCTAGATGTGTGGATGTTTGCCCTACTAGTATGGATTGAATGCTTTTACTTGGTTTTATGTTGCTTATGTTTGGCTTTATATATCCAGTGTGCTTTAGGTCTCGACGCTGCTTGGTGTTCATCCTTTGTTGATCTTTGTTTTGTGTATTATAAAATTAAATTTAATTTGCTAAAGTGCAGCATTAATCAGTTCATTATCTTCTATAGCCTGTTATTGTTTAACTAATGATTTGTGCTTAAAATGGCATTGAGATGTGGCGGATGGATGGATTTGACCACCAGTTGGTCGGAGTCATCTCTGAAGAAATCAGTGCAGCACTTTAATTACAGAATTATATAGTGTATTGGTTTCATAGCTATTCATGTAGCTAACAGATTCAAATTTCAATGACTAGGTATAGAAGTTTGCCTGAGTTGAAGTGAAATTCATTGGCCATATTTGCTTGTGTAGCTATTTACCGTAATGATTTGAAGAAGGAACACTGATTTAGAAAGATTATTTTGTAGAGTAGCTATTATTGTAATATTTGCTCGTGGCTATCATTGTAACAAATTGGGATTATTCAACTATCGATTTTGTAGTTTAATTGTCGATTTAGTAATTTGATTTTGCTCAACTGGTCACATATACAAACCTGCTTATGAATTGGTTTGAGTCTCATACAAACAATACTAACTTGGCTCATTTCTGTAACCCATATTGCTTTTACAATCATTTTATTAGCCCATTGCATGATGTTAATGCTCGGGTCGTTGATTAAATTGTGAGTTTAACTTATGAGCAAAGAACGAATTTGGGATTTCGGAGTCATTGTTTCAAACGCGCAGTAGCTTGAAAAATTCGGCGATGATTTGGTTTAGGATAGAACTGCTAGATTGGCCCCATCTTTCATTTAAGATAATTAGTAAACCCAGTTTGGTTTAATTAGTATATTGACCACCAAATAATCATTGCCATAATTCTTAAATCTTCATGATTGATCTCAAACTTAGGAAAATAATTCATAAATACCGTAGTTTGCTTTAGGCGCGTAAATAAATCATCATGACTATGGGTATGGTTCCCGTGGCATAGTCGTGATACATAATTTTTCAATTCGGGTGCGTATTTCATGCTCAGACTATAATTTTAAATAATAATAAAAAAATAAACATGTAAATCGCGGGTGCGTTTTACGTGGCGCGGCTTGCAATGCGTATCAATATGACAAGTATACGACATCGTAACTTGTTCAAGAAATAATTCCATAAATACTAAAAAGCGGTTAAGTAAATAATTAAAAGCGGTAAAGAGTAAAATGCACAATAGGCCTAAAACATGTAATCAGATAATTAAGCAAAGTATTAATTGTTAAGCGACCGTGCTAAAATCACGAAACTCCGGAGTGCCTCATACCTTCTCCCGGGTTAACATAATTTCTTATCCGGTCCTCTGTGTTCGCGGACCATAAAATATAGTCAATTTCCTCGATTTGGGATTTTAAAATAAACTGGCGACTTGAGACACCATAATAATTATCCCAAATGGCGACTCTGAATTAAATAAATAATCTCATTTCGAATAATGTCACTTTAATTGGAAAAACTCCCCTATCTCGGGAAAAATGAGGTGTGACAAACCTCAGAGTCCCTTCTCTCTTTAAGTTTTCAGCTGGTAGCAGCTAGATAAGAGGCTTTTCCTCCCACTTCAGTTTCCACCATTTACAGGGCAGAGCTATGTGTGCCCTAAGGCTGTCCAACGGGACGGGCCGTCCCGTCCCGTCCCGGTCCTGTCTCGTATCCCGTCCTGGTCCTGTCCCGCGTCCCGTCCTGTCCCACTTAATTCTAAACGGGATGGACCCATGTTAAACGGGACACGAGATGGGACGGGATGACCATTTCGTCCCGTTTGTCCCGTCTCGTTCCGTCCCGCGTCCTATTTTTTTATTTTTGAATTCTAGCCGTTGGGCAACGGCTCCAATTGCAAAAATAACTGTTCCCAACGGCCAAAAACGACTATAATTGCCCTCCTCTCAAAACACCCCTACCCTCCCCTCCCCCTCCCAAACTTTTAATATAATCCCTAAGTTTATTAAATTATACTTTGGCCCTATTTTCTACTATAAATATCCCATCCTTCTTCATTTTTTCCTACAAAAATCAATCATTCCCTCTCAAATCTCTTACATTCTCTCAATTTTCTCACTATCAACTATCAAGTGATAAGTTTCAAGTATTTAGGCAGATTTTTGGAGCAACTTTCAAGTTTAAAATTAATTCGTCAAGTATTTGGAGCAATATTTTGAGCAATTTCTTCAAGTTTTAATATTTAATCACGGTGCACTCGTTCCATCTCCTAATTTTAATATATAATTTTTGCGTATCATTTTAGTGCTTAATTTTTGTGTTTACTTTACGTGTTCTATTTTCGTATTTCATTTGTGTGTTTAGTTTTTGTGTTAACTTTTTTTAATTTAATTTCATATTTAAATTATGGCACCTAAAAATATATTTGGCTTTAAAAAAAATTAGTAAAAAAAGTAGTAAAGGTAAAATAGTAGTAATAAAGTTTTAGTGATAAAGTTTTAACTATCACCTTAGATAATGCTTCTGCTAACACAACTGCAGCAACTAGCTTAAGAACTAGACTTTGTCCAATTGATGATGAGCTTGATTCTTATCTTAATCAAGGATTGGAAAGTATTAAAGACGAAGAAGGCAACGAACAACTTTTGGCATGTGGAGGGAGCGTGGCAAGTCTTTTCCCACACTTTCAATAATGGCCCGAGATATCCTTGTTATTCAAGTATCATCAGTAGCATCAGAGTGCTTTTAGCGTGGCAAGATTTCAAATCGGAGATCATAGACATTCATTAGCGGAAGATAGCCTAGAGATTTTCGTATTATTCAGAGATTGGATTAATTCAGAAAGAAGAAATCTTGGTTTTGAAAAATTAACCACTAGGGAAGAAGAAGAATACAATGAGATACTTAGCACTGGGAGCGATGACGACATGGAACTCATGGAACATCAATCAACATTGCCAATTCCAGAACAATGTCCGAGAGAAATTATAGATAAGTTACAACGAAGTTATATAGGAGCTTACAAATATTAGTATGATAATTTGTAATTGGATACTAAGAGGCCTAGTTCAAACAGAATCCTTCCTAGAAGGTGACTGCGTAGATTAGATACTTTTCAAAAGAATTATATTTGTATGTGAGATTTGAAAGTTCTATTAATAAAATAAAAGGTTCTAAGCGTTGAATGTTTTTTATGAATTGTCTTACACTCTTAATTAGTTACTTAATGGCTTGAAATTATATTAAATAAACTATAACTCTATTATAAATTTATAATTACTAGAATATTTCATTACAAGTCTTTTGTTTTAATATTTTATAATTCTTTACTTAGTTTTCTAATTTCTATTTAATTTTTAAGTTTATTAAATAAGTCAAAAACTAGCCGTTGCAAACTTTAAAAACTTAGTCATTGTCAAAAAAATAGCCGTTGCCAAACTTAATGCTTAAATATTTTTTTTTAAAACGACACTTAAGGCCCGCGAACCCGTCCCATCCCATCCCGTCCCATCTCGTTTGTTAGCGGGACGGGATGGACCTACCGTTTTGTCCCGTTTGTCCCGTCTTGTCCCATCCCGTTTGTTAGCGGGACGGGATGGGCCTACCGTTTCGTCCCGTTTGTCCCGTTCCGTTTCGTTTCGTCTCGGCTAAATGTCGTCCCGTCCCGTTAATTTTATCCTGTCCCATCCCGTTGGACAGCGCTAGTGTGCCCTAGGGAAATCTCATTTTTTATGTATATATATAATATATACTATTATATCTTGAACAACCTAGGGAAACCTTTTACTTCACTACTGACCATTTGTACATAGGAAGCATTGTTCCACTTCTCTGTTTTCTTGGCCTTAGATACATGTTAAGAATCTTATTCAAACCTTGACTACTAGATGATTGATTCAGCTATTGAGGGGCTATAACTGAAGATTATCTCATAGCTGCCACTGCTCCATCTGTGGCTGAGGAATAACTATCAGAGTAAACCTCATTTACGGGAGCTAGCACAAAAGTTGGGGACAACTCATTTTTCCCTTTGTGGAGAAAAGCGCTAATGCAAATAAAAACTTGCCTGAATCCGATGACATGAACCAAATTTTATTAAATTATCACCGTTAAGTTATAAATTGTGACAATATTATTTAACCATAATTAAATGATTGATGTTATATAAACATATGACCTCACTCCGCTTGTCCCTTTCTCCTTTTTACAACAAATCATTTGCCCCTTAGTTATACAGATCCATAAATTAGGCGAGCTTGTTTGGATGATTGTTATGTATTGTATCGTATTGTTACTTTAAATGCAATGTTTGTGTTGATTGTTACTTAAATTTTATTGTATCGCATCGTTAAATCTATCGTTACGTAACCACAAAAAGTGCCACTTTATGGAACGACAAATTTGGTGTGGTGGCGGCGTTACCTTGCCTTTTTATCTCATCTTGCCTTTCTTTATTATTAAATAATCATATTTTATCCTTTACCCTACTCTTTTATATAATAATTCTACTATGTATCCTATTTTTCCTTAATAATATTGCAAGTTTATTCTACATATTGTTGGTGCATGACATCATGAAATGACGACAAATGATACAATCTATCCAAACGTTGTATTCATTAAACAATACAGTACAATATAATACAATACAATACGATACATTATGAAACGATACGTAACAACAATCCAAACAAGCTGCAAGTCGTGATAGGGATTTCAAAAATTATCTTATTTATGTATTTTTAACACGCACATATACGTATATATTCTGCTAATTTACTATGGATTACTGTGAAATTTCTGACGCTGCACAAGTGGTAATTCAGAAAAGAAAATTTCAAGGTATTATTTTTAATAAAAATTTCAAGGTCACCTTTTCAGTTATTACAACAGTAATTATACAAAATTCAAAACCTTCTACCAACTACTCTCTCTGTCCCAAAACAACGAATTCGGACACAAAATTTTTAATTTCTTAAATAAAATTTATATATTTAGAAATTACATAAAAAATACTATAAGCTACAATAATTAATAATTTAAAGGTATATAAAACATCATGGTTAAGGAACAACTCGTTTGACTCTCAATATCTGAAAAGTATCATCCTCGACGGTGGAAATACAAATTTACAACTAATATATGACTAACTCTATCAAACAAATGAACCAAATTGCGTAATTGCTTGGTCGAATCTAATTCTCATATACCTTTGGGAAAATGATCAAATTTGTTACTGTATTATTCAAAATTGAGTAATTTTACTTGTCATTAGACTATTTATCTAACATTACTCTCGCATTAGAAAAAGGTCTTTGCTTTTATACCCTTGATGCTTAATAAAGCTCTAACCTGAGTATAATTTCAAATTATAATCAAATGTAGAGGAATAAATTTGCACCTCTTTTGTGAAAAAATTGGTACGGTGGAGTCCACTCATTTTTGCACTGGAGAGCCCATTTTATTATAAAAACAAATGTGAGACAATTTTTTTAAGGATAAGGGAATGAATGAACAAAATTAATATGGGGACAAATTTGGACATTTTAAC